ACTTTTCCTCAAATAGGAACTCCCGACTCCTCCAATTTTTATACTTCATTTGGCCTGTCATCAACTTCTTAAGTCAAGGCTACTCTTCCCACAGTCATAGAAATTGGAAAGAGACTATTTTATCTACTGTTACCAGTAGATTATAGTGAAATCAAGCAGCACATACAAATGCTATTTAACACTCTGGCATTCATATACATAGAGATACATACATACACAGGTGGACAATCAGTATAAATTCTAGACTTTAGCTTATATATGATATAGGTATCGTTGATCTCTTTTTCATACAAACAGACACTGCAACTATCATGAATCCATAACTGCTAACCACATGATGACAATTAAACAGTTGAGCAAATAATGGTCAATGTTTAAACTGGGAATGGATGGAGAACTTCACCAGATAGGTCAACATGACTGAAACTGAAAAAGGTTAAGTATAAAGGGCTCAACCCTGAAGTAATTTCCTTCAGTTGTTTTTTATAATCAGATCTAATGACCCATTGTAAAACTGTGTTTTGTGAAAGCATTAGACAGATGCAATATGGACTAAACTCAATTCAACCTATGTCCCTCATCTCCCTGAGGCCTAAGCTAAAAGCAGACTGTACACAAATACTCTGGTCCCAGGCCTCCCACCCCCACAAACCCTTAATAACATGGGATTTGAAAGCATGTCTAGAAAGGAAGAGGAAAAAACCTAAATCTCTGAAGACCTAAATTCAAAGCTAGAAAAGAGGAATTTCTCCATCAAGCAGTTAGCATTTCTCCTTTAAAATACAGAACAAATGTCTTGCCTACTGTAAACTGTTTACAGCCAAGCTTGTATACACACACAGGCTTTTTTTAAAGACAGATTTTGTAGTGATTCATAAAAAGCTGATTTGAGCAGTCACTATGAAGACATTCTGCAGTTGCCACCAAAGACGAATCTTCAGCTTATTGGAGCATACCATAGAAACTGGTCATCCCAAGTAACTTTTATATTCTATACAGAAATTTTACTAAGTGATGCAACACACATCAATTATAGGCCTATAATTATACATGTATCTCACAGACACCACAACTACTTAGCAAGATTTTCCTAACATTCTATGTCATCTTAACACCTTATTGGAAAACTGAGCACATGAGAGAGTATGTTACCCTAATGTTGTAAAAATTGCTGTAAGCCAGACTTAACATTTGGGTAATGCGCAGATGAAGCAAGTTTTACTAAACTGTTAAATCAGAACCCTGCATTACAAAACCATTCTGTTTTATTAGGAAGACTGACGGACACACTGGCTACAAAATTGTGGCTGCCACTTTGACAAACTCAGTTCTGAAACCGTGAATGAATTATTTTGTCTAGTTCCTCACAGGCAGTATTAGAGGTTTCAGATTATAAATTACCATATCATATGAAAAGTACGTGAAGATGCCTTTAGTTAAAATATATCTTGGGACACAGTATAAATATTAATTAGACATGACCTGCATACAAATACTGCACTGCTATTGAAGATTGCTTCTGGAAATGAAAATTTACCTGCTAATTTACCTGCTAATTAGGAAATTTCAAAGATTCAATTCAACACCTGTGATAAAAGTTAGGATGGCATAAAAATGAGAAATTACTAAGCCTCTTAAAAGTCTCTCTCTCTTTCTTTTAGCTGTCAGTGCAACAACAAATGTGCACATCCTTCTTTTCCATTTTCTGATGAAGCAGGATAAAAAGATAAAGTCACATAAAAGGTGTTTATCAGAATTATCTCAATGGAGAGTTGGGAACTAACAGTTACACTGTCTTCACACATATGTAGTAAAGACCACCACAAAGATAAATTTCTTGAAACTACCATCTCTTGACCCAGCAAAATGGAATTGTTCTGAAAAGGTCTTCCTGACAATGCCCTTAAGACTGAGAAATAAAGCTAGAAAAAACCCTTTCATATTTCATACAAAGAGTTCTAAATAATTCCAAGAAACCAATTTTCTTTGGGAGTGCAGCAAGCTTTCAACCAAATCCAACAGAGAAGCCATTTTCATGAAAAACTGAAAAGATGACAATTAGGAGAAAAAAAAAAAAAGCTAAGGAAAAAAATTCTTTCTGCAAACTTTCCCTTTTTGTAAACTGTGTACTACAAAATTCAGGCATGAAGAAAAAAACTAAGGTACCACTTAAGAAATGAGAAGCCAGGGAAAGCTAGACTTTTAGGTTTAAAACTAACATTAACCTGTTTTCACCTTGGAATTTGTACAGAAAATCCAGACAACTCAGTTAGGCTGACCAATCTGCAGAGCTGTCCTACAGAGCATAGACACTATGAAGTCCACTTATTCAAATTTTTTAAACATTCAATATATAATATTTTTTAAGCTTTCAACATATACATAACCACATTACAAGAGTATACCACCCATGTGCAATCTTTAACTTTTCTTTAAAAAAAGGTGAAAAAATGGTGTCATACAGCTAGGACAGACATTCAAAAGTCACAGGTGTAAGCCAGCTCTGAATTCCAAATTCATATTTAATCCCCTGTCCCACACCACCTCCATCTCCTGAAAGCATTCTGCAGAAGCTGTTACCCACAATGTAGACTCATGAAGACAAAGGACTACATTTCATCTGATCTAACACTCATTTAATCTTCTACCATGTATCTATTTTATATAATAAAATATTCTAATCAACAGTCCTGTTATCTAAAGTATTTCATTTCACTTCGATAATATAAGTTCACAGTTAGACTCTTCATAAAACATAATGAAAAAGAGCTTCACATTCTTCTCCATTAGTAGATTATTCCAAAATACACAAAATAATGCAGTTTCTTGAAGTAAATTAAAGAAATATAAGTAAAAATTCATCTTATTGCTGGCTTTTACCAAAGTAAGCCATTGTCATATGCAATGATCTTTGCCAACTTGATTCTCCTTCTGGTTGTACTTTTATTGTCACAGATAGGTTACAGTTGAAAAGGACCTTTGAAGACTTTGTCCAACCCTCTCACTCAAGGAGAGCCACTGAGAGCCAGTTCCCCAGGACCATGTCCACAGTGTGTGAATACAGCCAGGGATGGAATCTCTACTACCCACCTCCCTCATAACCTGAGCCAGTGCTTGGTCATCCACACAGCCAAAATGTGCTTCATGGTGTTTAGAGGGAACCTCCTGTGCTTTTTTGTGCCTGTTGCCTCTGGTCCTGTCTGTGGGCACCACTGAAAAGAGTCTGTCTCACTTTTCTTTGCACCCTCTCTTCAGGAATTTATATACTTAGATGTGATTCCCCCTCCCTGAGCTTTCCCAGGCTCTCCTATGAGGAGAAATGATCCAGTCTCAGTCTCTTAACCATCTCTGTTTGACTCTCTCAAAACAGAGAGCTGGTCTTCGTTATTTTTTTTTTCCCACTAGAACTTCAGAAATCCTGCATTCCATGACCTTTTGGGAAATCCCAGATGGAATTGGCACTATGTATGGAATTCAGCAGCTCACTTTCTCCTTCTAATTCAAATCACTTTTAGTAAGCTAGAAAGGAAAAAAAATCCTTCCAAAAATTCACACTTTTTAAAGTTTAAATGTTCATTAACATTGCTATGAACATTATTTTCCAGCATTATAACAATATTTAAAATGCAATAAAAAAATCCATTCAGTGAAAATCATTATTTTAACAGCTGCTACTAGATTATATGTACTCTTTAACATTCAGCCACCATAACCTGAGTAATTATGTTATCAAAAAAGCAATAATATCTGGAGTCAGTATAACTATTACAAAGCCCATTTTTGTAAAGGGAGGGCATGCTGACCCAGGTTATCATCTTACTCCCTTAAGAACCACTAAAATTTGGGAAAAAGCAGATAGGGATCTAAAATACTGTTGTAAAACTCATGAAGCATTGTCATTTCCAACATACTGTCATGAACACCATGATGCTTCTGGGAATATAGTTTGGCTTATTAAATTAAAAAAAATATGCACTGAATGTATTTCTTCTTTGTTTATATGGCAAAGTAGGTTCCGCCCCCCAAAAATAAATGCCGTAAATTAAGGATAATCTGGGAAAAATTTTGGTTGGGAGTACATAAAAGTACAGGTTTCAGTCATGAAAGCATTCAAAGCAACATGAAATCTTAAGGCCTTCAAACCACGAGTGCTAGAAGCTTTACACCAAGGCTTCTAGCACTTGGTGTAAGACACAATTTTGTGACAGAAGGTTTTGTTCCTTTTAAAAATTTGCACAGCTTTAAACTTTCATCCTGTAGTTCAAAAACAGAAATCATATTCCAGCATTAAAGTTACTGACAATGTCTTGTGGACTAGACACTTGTTTATATTGAAAGTACAGCCAATTAAACTAAACCTTGTAATTTAAAGCTTCATGGAACAGTAATTTTTATGGCCTGATAAGTAATGGAGACAAACTTAGGTAACCCAGAAAGACCCAGACAAATATATTTATTTAACAGCAAATGTTTACTGGTCAGGCTGCAGAAACAATACTGGGTTTTTTCCCTCCTTTGCTGCAAAGTAATAAGAGTACACACATGAACATAGCCAGAGAGAACAAGGAACAGAGTTACAAAAGAACATTAAACCAGAAGATAATTTATCTGCCCTGCTGAGAAGAGCTCAGGGAGGTAAGCCAAAACATCTGAAAAGAAGAAAATACCAGAGAACTAAACAAAAGAAAGTAGAAGTGTAACACTCAGTTATAATAGTGCAGGAGATTTATACAATATTCTACCTCAACCTACACTGATGAAATGATTTCCTGATGTCTCCTCTTGATCATTTACCTATGAAACCAACAGCCCACAGAGCTCCGTACAGAAAAGATCTCTGAAATTATCACTTATGCAAAGCATACATGACAAAGTATATCACTGCCCAAACATTCAGCTAGGGCGCAGAGTATTAGGGTGAAAAACAACACACCAGCAGCACTTATGCTAGCACTTACATGTTTCCAACTAGCTGCAATTAGTTTAAGTGTGATGCTTACCTTTAATAGTTTCCTCCACAACTTCTACTACACGATCTATCTGCTGAACCTAAAAAAAGTCAGAAAGTAAATACCTAAGTAGTCAACAACTGGACATACTTTCATATTAACTAGTCTTTCAAGAGTGTCTTCATCTGGATTAAGGGGTAGTAAAGAATTCTGTGCTGTGTTTTTAGCCAGTTTTTATTCTCTGGATCTTGGTCAATCTGCCAAAAATAACTTTAAAATTTACCACCCAATTTAAACCAAATTTTGTCCTCAAAAAGAGCAAGCTCACTTAAGTTTGGCAAAAATCACCAGATTGCTAGAAAAGAGTTGAGGCCTTAACTGCTGTTCATGGTCTGTGACAGGCAATGGTGAACCAGGCACTCAGCACCTGGGTGCCTCAAACAGCCAAAGCGCTCCCTCACCCCAGTCTCCACAGCACAATAGTAGATGGTGGAAAACACAACAAAAAAACTGATGATACTGTCAGGGCAGAATATAGGGGAGAAAATGAATGAGGTACCAGAGGGGAAAGACACTGGAACATAGGAAGAGAATAAAAATACTTTTGTGAAGTTTAACAGAACAAGACATTCTCCTGAACTTGACACAGGCTGTGTTTGGAAATGGAGAAAAAAGCCCTCATGATTTTCACAACACAGAATTATCTTTAATGACCATTATACAACGTCTGCAATAAAGACAACAAATTTATGTTTCAGTGTTACATTTGCCAAAATTCACCACTAATGAGATAAATAGTTCAATTATTTCTTAATAGATACATTAGTCTTTATTTAAAGTCAATGGCCAGCACACTGTAGAGATTTTGGCATATAAACTAAAAGGAATCAACATTAACACTGCAAAATTAAACACTCAGGAATTCTGGAAGCTGAGATTTTTTCCAGAACTTTTATCCAAACCACCTCTTCTATGTAATTCTAATATAGATATTTACATACACTGCAGGAAAGCCAACTTGTCACACTTCAGTTAGTTTGTAATTTTTCCACAACATTCATTTTTAAACACTGCTTCTCTAAGCTGTAAATTACATTAACTAGATTTAGTATGATTTTAGCAGTCTTTTCCTTGGAGTTTTTTTTCCATCTTGTTTCCCAAACAAGCAGAAAAGCAGAAGTTGCAGAGGCTTCAAGAGAAGTACCTGGTCTGCAACAAGGAGCCTGGAACTTGGATCCCTTGTATCAAAGCCAGTAAGTCTTATTGCCCTAAACCACTGAGTTTGTCTTTGCCTGTATATATAAGACTGCACAATCTTGTCTACTTCACATTCATTTTTTCAATCTGTCTAGCAGAAGTTAAAAAAAAAGCTCACCTATAGCTGGAGTCTGATTTTAAATTCCCAGCTGAAGTCAGGTCCTTTCCTCATCTGGGTGTTGGATCAAGTCCATGTCAAAGTATTTTTATTTTTCTTTTAATCTTTTGAAATACAGACTTTTAAAATAGGGATGGCCACAATTTTAGATTTCTAATACAGTATATTAATCATGAAGTCTAGAAATTAAGTTATATTATTGCTAATATCTGTATTTTAATAATTTTATTGAAAAAATAAATCTATTTAAATAATTTTCTGAATCACCAGCATTCACATTACAGACATACATATTTAGCAATCAACTTGTAAAGAAAGCACACATAAGCAGTCGTATGGAAGACATGCATATTTACATACTTATGTATATATCCATTTTGGATATAGTTTTAAAAATTATGACTCAAGATATTTAACATATGTACTTTCTACTAAGTGTTTACAAATAAATAGAAAAATTCCACTTAAAATAGAAGTATACACATTTAAAATTATGCTACAGACAGGGAGCAAAGCGTGCATTATATTACCTAAAACATTACTGCTATATGTCGCACTACTAGACTGTTTACATTCATAACCATTTTAGTAATTTAAAATGCGAGTAATCTGGGTGGTTCATAACCTGAGCCACCAATTACTTTCTGCATTGTGCATCTGAGGAATTTTTGCATTGCTCCAAATCCCCTGTTGAATAAAGACAGAAAAAACCCCACCAACCATTATATTGCATCTTCATTTTATTGGATAAATTAAATTATTCTCAATATGTCTGTCAAGAAGATGGCTCATGTAAGTAATTAAAATTATAGGTCTGAGAGACATTGCGATCTGCACCCAGAAATGGATGTTTGTTCTGCCTTACATGTCATTTCCCACATTAAATATTTTTCATTTGATATTGGAAATTATTTGGCTAAAGTCCCAAGTGCTCAAGAAGAAAATGTGGAATGCTTCCAGTCTCCATTTATGAAGCTAAAAGTATGTTAGAAAATGTGAGGTGCACCTGAAGTGAAAAGAGGAAAAGGTTTAATAATTCTTATCTGGGAAAAATAAAAGGGGGGAGGGAGGATGAAAAAGGAAAAAAAAAAAAATTATGAAGTCATAGTAATGAAATTTTCTTGAATATATAAAGGTCTGGTGGATGCTTTTCCTCACATCTCACTAACCTTATGGATAATTCTGCTCTAGACTGGTATCAAAGATATGTGTAAAACTTCAGAGCAGAGCTCCAATAATGTCTCTCTCCCTCAGGCATCAGGAAGTCCATGAAGCAGAGAGACCTCCTGGTGGTGCACGAAGGGAAGAGACACCATTCCTCAACATTTCTTTGCAGAGTGTCTCAAAAAACCAATGCCCCAGGACTGACAGCAGGACACCACTGCTGGGTGTGGTTAGTGCACCCTACTTGGTTTCACAGATCTTGTGGACCTTAGATCCAGCATAGTTAAGTACATTTTGGACTTCATGTCCATTTCAAATGGTTCTCCATTAGGCAGAACGGAGCTGACAGCTGAGTAGAACAATGCAAAAAGAAAAAAATAAAAAAAAAAAAAAAAAAAAAGAAACAAAACACTCAACAACCACAAATCAGGGCTGGTGCAGAAATCTGGGCTGAGATTGATATGGGCCAAGAGCATAGGCAGGGCTCATGAGCCCATGGAAGAGTAGCCAAATGGCCAAAGCAGGAAACTCAGGAAACTGTCTGGTGAAAAAGCAAAGATAAAGAATTTTTATCAAAGCATGGAGGCTGAGTTGAAACAAAGGCCAGGAAAAATCTTTGACTCTTCCTGGTGGGATCAGAGCTAGGCGTAAGTGCAGCTCAGCAATCATTTGTATTCATAATAACCCAGCACTGCCAAGCCCCCCACTAAACAATATCCCTAAGCACCAAATCTACACAACTTTTAAATGCCTCCAAGGATTGTAACTCAACCATTTCCTTGAGTAGTCTGGTCCACTGCATGACCACCCTTTACATAAAGAAAATTTTCCTAAGATCCAATTTGAACATCCTAGGAGTGAGCATAATATCTATACAGAGCTACTTGAAGTAAAACAATCTTTTTTTCTTTTTTTTTCTCATCTTGGAAAAACCCTGTCCATTGATTCTCATTGACATAGTTAAGAAACAAAATGGTCACTACATAGATAAAATAATCTATTGTAGGTAATTAGAACATGCTATTTAAAATCCTGAAGATTTTAACTCCAGTTCACCAACTCTCAGTTTCATCTCACCTTGTTTAGGGATCTCTGCCAAATGCTGGTTGTTAAAAGACTACTCAGCCTATCCCCTCTCTAAAGCCAGTAAAAGGGAAATACAGGGCTTCAAAAGGCACTTCAGGTCTTCTAAAAATCTAAATTATTTTAGAGATAATTATCTTCATTGACCATAAAGAGAGCTGAGCAAAACAGACTCTCAAGTTACAGCACTTAGGCAAGATAAATCTAAGGCTTAATACATAACTTCAAAAGGCATGTGACTAGCCACCCTGGCTTCAGAGGGATAACATCTGTGTTTAAAATCTTTGCTGACAATACTGGCCATGGTAATGGGCATTGCTCTGGGTTAGGAATGTATTCTGAGAGGAGGATCTACACAAACTTTAAAGGGAAGGAGACTACTCCAGAGATGCACATAAACAACTGATTTTCATTACTAAACAGTGACACAGCTGAAAGATAATTCTTATCTAAATGAACTGCTAGACCCTTTGATTTATAGGATAGTACATAACTGCTGTAGAAATGAACATTTTCTATTTGCACATCCATTTTTCAGTTTAAAAGCAGGTGTTTAACTGACACTCTTTTCTGACTTTCCAGGTTCAAGTGTCCTATATGAATATCAACATGGGAATCCAAAAGCCAAAGCCGACCAGCTGAGATTTGTATTAAATAATTCTTAGCCATAAGTTACAGATGAACAGTGTCCACCTCTTCCCAGGTTCCCAGGTTTCCAAGTTCCAAGAACTTCTGATAATTCAAATAATTCAGAGTAAACTTCCATCCAATTTGGCTTTTATGAAGTACGTATTGGATATCTGCATTCATGCAAGGCTCTGTTTTAAGGGCAGCAGACAGGCTCGCAATCTTGAATGCAGTCTGGCCTTATAAATGCTGCAAGGTAGGCAAGTATCACTATCTCTGTTCTGCAAACATCATTGAAACTTTTATGAACTGAACAACAGAAATACCATACAACACATCTTCCTTGTTTATGAGGCTAAAGCAGTAGGGATGTACAGACACTTGGCATCTTTGTAAGGTTCCAGTGATTTCCTTTCACTGCTAAAATGACACTGCTAAAGCTCCACTCACTGGAGCATTTTACAAATGAAGGAATAAGTTCATTAAACTTGGAAGTGTATACCAATTACAGATGTAGAGCTTGAGAAATAAAGTGCCTGTTTTTTGTAATGCACTTAGCATTTTTTATGCTGCACCATCTATTTTATTGCAGTGCTCCCAGTGTTACGTGCTGCTGCTGGGAGTGTTCAGCATTCCCACTAATCACATTCTAGAGTTTCAAACTGGATATGAAAAGAAAATTACTTAAAGTTTGCCTTATACAGTAGAATAGCCAGGGGAAGGGGTTAGTTGGAGGTCAGGAGAATGCAAGGAGCTTTGGCAGAGGGCTTTTCATAGCTATATATTTCTCCTGGAAAGTGAATTCAGGTTCACCTTGACTGAAGAGCCTGCAGTGCCCTACCATGCAGAAGGAACCTGCACCTTCTGACTCAGAGAGCAGCAGCAAAGGGGGGGTTACAGCCTTCCAGAGTAGCAACACTGGATTGGTTGTATGGGTTTGTGCAGATAAAAGATTAGGCATGATAGACTTTCCTTGGGTGATGGGAGTATGGCAGAAGGTGATAGGTCTTTGAAGCTAGATGTTACACTGGGAAAGAGAGAAGGAAGGAGATTTGGAGTTCTCATTCAGGATTCACTCACCTGTGGAGCTATTGTACGCATTTAATGGAATACATAAGTGGATTAGGCCCCATGCTTTCAGTCTGCACAGCAAGTTTGACTATTTCAAAGCACAGATACATGGGCTTTGTGAAGCCTCTTAAGATCTATAAACTCCCAGCAACTTGACCAGGGGTTCCAATACATAGCATCATTTGGAGATCAAGCATCTTAAAACTCCAGAAAATGTCAATGAAATAAAATACCCCGTTCCAATGGCTCAACTATCACAGGGAGCAAGGGTTTTGTATGTTCTTGTATGCATCTCAGGAAGTGAAGAAAGACCACCATTACCTATATCCATTCACGGATCCCAACACATAACCTGTCAGCTAAATCTTTCATTGCCCCTTCTGTCTCCTTTTCCTTCCCCCATAATCCCCTCAAAACAATTGGAACAGTCACACATCCTACTTCTCAGCAACTAAAAATGAAAAGTGAGGGATAATTACATAGGAGAGTTGATGTCTCCTTGTGCTCTGCACAAGCATTTGAGTTTGAAGTGAGTACACCACAAAGACAAGGGAGTAAGCTTTGGAAACCACCAGAGGGGAACTGGCTGTGAACCTCTGTAATGCATCATTAAGTGCTTCAGGTACTTTACACCCTTGGCAGGTTTATTACTGCCTAGAGTTTTCCCGTTCCACAAAAAAGCTCCTTCACCTTGTCATGTGACATTATGGTTTGCCTTACACACAGCCTATGGCAAGGCCTCAATCATCATTATGTTTATAAAGAAGCAATTAATTTAAAGAAACACAGAAGCACAGTAACATGACAAATGATAAGAAGGATATGAAGTTGCCCTTCCTTTCCTTCTGCCCGAATCAGGCAGTATATAAAGAACAGTCAAGTTCAGTCCTGTATTTTTCAAATGCAGATCAAAACAAGCTCTGGTTTACTAGAATTTCTCTTGTAGTTACAACAAAACTTCCTCTTCCATCCTAACAAGAGGAGCAGAAGAGCCTCTGACACACTGCCTCTAGAAAGCCACCCTGAGGGAGTTATAATTGCTGGTAAATAAACATATTCTCAGACAACACAGTCCTTCAAAATAAATATTGAAAAAGAGAAAAAAAAAAAAGGGGGGGGGAGGGGAGAAAACAGCAGAACTTACATAGGCCACAATAAATCAACTATGTCTCTCAGCTAAGTTGAAGACAAGACCAACCTAGTATTATAGAAAGATTTTCAAAACTGTACCCTTAATGCTTAACATTTTAAAGTAGAATCAATATCCTATTGCCAACAGAACATTTTCTACTTCTCAATTCTGAAAAATCCTCCTTTCAAAAATATTTTGCAATAGTAAGATAACAAGTCTTGTCCTTTAAATACAGTCACCCTCTCACACACATTCTTTATAAAATGGGAAGGAAATCTTAAATGTACCAACTGAAAACATAGACAATAATATGCTCTTAGCTTTGTTTTTGTTAATAGTTTTGCCTCAAGGCTGAGACCTTTCTGAGCTGAGGGATCTCATTTAAAGCACAGTGGATTTAACTCTTTAGACTGCCTCTAGTTTAAACAAAATAATAATTGCTATTTTCCATTCTGCTTAATAGTGTGAAGTAAAAAAACAACCACCCAAGCCTCATCTGTGTCTGTGTAATCCATATGCTCTAGTCCCCTACACTTCTTCCACTGCTTTTAACAAAGGTCTTAAGGCTTGTCTTAGAGCAAATAAACTGTGATATTCTTAAGAATATGGTAATTGATATCTTCATCCTGGATGAAGCCTGGAAGTTTCCAGGAAGTCAGTTCCAACAACAGCATCCTTTTCTTTCTCCCCTCATGTCACAGTCAAATCAAATCACCCTCAATTGAAGGAAGGTTTAAATATTGTACAATGCAAAAAGATGAACATGAGGAGGACATGGCAGGAAGCTTCTCTGCTGCTTTTTCCAAGAGAAAGGCAATAGAGTCTAGATATTGACATCGACATACTGAAAACATTTATGAAAACCTTTGATTTCTAAAGATACATACCCCTATAATACTCAAGCCTTTCAGGTATTCCTGGCGAGGTTGGGCTTGTGGTACACAACCTGCTAGAACAACTTTCTTCTTCCCTTCTTGGGCTTTCCTAAAGAAGGACAAACAGTATGTCAATATTTTTTTTACTTATCATTTTCAACTGCAACACAGTCATATTATGCATGTGACAACAGAAAGCAATCACAATGACGACCTCACCAAATCAGATGCAACTTGTGTATGTCTGAGACTCAGGAACCAAACAAACCAACACACCAAAAGAACTCCATTTGAAGCTACCTGGTTCAGTTTGGGGAGTACGTACAGAGACCATGACCACTGCATTTCTTGGACAAAAACACAACTCTGAAACCCCTAATCAAGTTCACTTAACTTTACTTGCCAAAATAGTAGAAGAGAAACTGGCCAAGAAAGATGGGAAAAGTAATTAACATCGATTCAAGAAATTACACAGAATGCAAGGGACAGAGGACAGGATGCAGGCAGGAACGCCAAACTCAGAACATAATACATTTGTGTAGCACCAGTCCGAATTGACCAGTTACATCAGTCTTCTGATGTGTACTTAAAACATTGATTTACTTTGAAATATGCAGTTGCTTTAAAATGTTTAAGTATTCAAGCATATTGAGCACTTTCAAGCTTTAAGTACTTGCCTCTGGCAGAGAAACATTTGTCTGGATACCTTACATAATTCTTTAGCTTTAATGCTACCTTAGCATCAAGCAGGAAATCAAAATATTAAAATGAAATGGTTAACACTGTTCATCTCAATAGTAAAATTTTTACTCACTTTTAATTCAACTATGAGTATTAAGGCAGCATTAAGTCTCAAAACTAATGGACGGCCTGTACAGAACTAGCAGCTGCGCACAAAACAGTGAGATACAAAACTTGCCAATGTTCATCAAACTTTGAAGATCATCCATTAGCAAAATAACCAACATAACAACTGCATTGCAATGTGCAAAATATGAAAGAAGAAAGGTGCTGAATAAGTTTAGGAGACTGGCTGGGTCTAACATATTATGGGTTGCTTCAAGAACGATCCTTCATGGTTGCATGTCACATGACAACCGCCCGGCAGGCTTCTGTCAAACTGGAACCTGGAATCTTTTCTCTAGCAAAACATGAATTCATTAAGTGTTTAACATTATGTTGGACTAGCCTAGAGACACATCACAACACCTTTCAGAAAAAAATATCCACAATACACAAGTATTGACACAATTTTATACTCTTCAGCCTTCTTGAGCTGTCTCCAAGATGAATGCACTAAAGGAAGTGATGTTCAACAAGCACATGAATGCTAAAGGAGTATCTATCTCCAGCAATGGCAATTTTAACAAAAAAATCCCAAACCAACCCAGAGTGGTACCACAGAGTTTCCCTGCTCAGAATTTTCACTCCACACTTGTTATATGGACAAATCTGTGTACAATTTACAGCTCAAATGAAAGCTCATAATAACACACAGACTGTAATAATAAAGGAGATCACAGGCCGTTTTGCCAAATATCTTGTGTTGGCTGCTGCACTAAAATGAGGTATTTTAAAGGAAAGAAACAAACACAGGTGAGAAATAACAAGAAAACAGATTATGACTGTTACTTCATATCCAACATAAATACAGCAAATGTCTATCAGATTTTGTTTTAGTGGGACTTTCAGGAAATGTTCAGTCATCATACAGAACCTTGTTGGTCCTCTACTTGCATACTAAGTGTATAATATAAATGCACATCTTCTTATCTCTTCCTTGTTAATATTTCTGTGGGTAAAGAACTATGATAAGACACTAATTTAGTATATTTCTTCGGCTCAGAACATAGAAACATGTCTCCAAAACCTGTGATCCCTCATTTCTTTCAGTGGTAATCATTTAAGGGCTTTATAAAACTTCAGTGGAGGTTGCCTACTATATATCCAAGAAAAAAATAAGAAAATTTAAAAAAAAATCATACTTCATGCATTACCTAAAAATGTCACATAGCACCATGTGACACTCCACTAACTCAAAGGATAAAAATCACTACTTATATAGTCTAACAGACTCAACCTGATGCCTGGAGGCAAGACAATAAGCCCTGTCTCCAGCAAACAAAGCACACATCCCTAGGCAACCTGGCATCTGGTATAATCTGCTGCAAGCAACAGCCCGCTCATCTACTTGAAAACCTGTGAGCATCACAGAAGAATTGATTCATGTCTTTTTATCCGAGAGAAAAAAAATAAACAAAGTTTCCCTTGACACATTAAATGGCATTTTAATGTTATTTCACAGCTTTAACATTTTGCCATATCTTCTGGGACTATAACTAGAGCTAGGGGGAAAAAGTTAAAATTCATATTCTTCGTAAGAAGCATTACCTTCACTTAACTTTTTAAAAGTTGTACAGGTCTCTACAGAATAAAGAATTTTGTACACTGAGATTTTTTTTTTAAAAATGCAATTAAGTGGAAATGCCAGAACTAAATTTTCAATCATAGCAAATTGTCATTACCTTCATAATATACCACACAATACATAAAACCTACCATAAATGAAAATCCATTGTAAGGAAATTATGATATTTTTGCCTCATTTTCAAGAAACCACTTCTCAAAATATGCATTCCAGTGCTATATTGTCACCTCCTTTTAATAGTGTTTAATGAGTCCTACTCATATTAACAAAAGACTGCAAAAATTATCCTTCAGAAACCTAGTTAGCATGAAAACAGTATTAGAAGAGCCTTTAGTCTTCAAAAACATGAATAGTAAGGAGACTAATACCTCATGGAATCTAGTAGGTGGCATGAATAAATACACCTTCTCTTTTAGAATCCTTTATATTTTTAAGTTACATGAACTTTACCTTGAACTTTCAATTTAATTGACTCATGAAAGATCTTCTAGAAATCCTCATTTCTAAAAGCTACTTGCAAGATATACATCTGAATACAAATTTAATTAGAGCAATTCTTTTTTTTTTTTTTTTTAAGAAAGGACTTATTCAAGCTACTTCCTAAGTAATGTGTGGGAAATAAAAAACAATTGGGAAACAACAGGGGTGTGAATGCTGCATACAGCAGAGGACTCATACAAGATCACAAGATTTATACTCCATTGCAGAGATGTTCCATGTATTCTGCCTTTAAAAAGCAAATTTGAGAATGCAGCTGGAGAATTTCTGCCTTACTCATGAGCACTTGTATTTATGTTAAGAACATTCCCAAATCAGGATATTTTTCTCACAATGCTATGTAGTTTGTTGCATGGTTCCTCTAATTTTTTTTTTTAAGCTCCAAGAAAATTTAGTCCGTAATACAACAAAGACAAAGAAACACTTCCCACCCTTCAAAAAAGCTCCCCATAAGCATTTGTTACATCAGCACTGTGTGTATAGCAGCACTGCTGGATACCATGGCAGCCAGTGCAGGAAGCTGTTCCACTTTTTCATGACTCACACAGATACTCAGGTGGAACTACCAAAAGAAAAAAGTTAGGGACTTTCTCTGAGGTTCAAATCTAAGGAAGGCAATAAAAAAGTGAAAGCAGAGAAGATGGGCCAAGTTCAACAGAAGACAATCTGTGATACTGAAAGTAATTGCTAACTTGCTCTTTGCTAGAGACAAGAGGAGCCAGACCGCCACCGCTTCCCTGCTCATTTCCCTTCCCATAAGCAGAGCTGCCGACTGGATTTTTGTAAACTGTGAACTCTTAAGTAACTCGTAGCTTTTAGGGAGCCACCACTACACCCCACCAAGGGATCCCAGCTGCACAGGAAGGCTAAACAGGCCTCTGAAATAAAAAGCAGTCTGGTCTGCAGGGAGGAAAGCTGATAAGCTACAGACTACTCAGCATGAAACATGCAATTTGTAAAGTGCTGCTCTAGTACCAGATATGTGAAACCATAGGAGACCAAGTATTTTACCTGCAAACTCCACATTTTCTCCTCCAAAACCCATTGTTTGTGGAATTAAATAATGAAGAAGCCTGTAAACAATGAGCAGAAGGTTGCCTGCAGGAGGACTAAGTAACACTCAAACACAAGTAAGAAAAGAAGCAAGAGTGGAATTTTAAAAGCAAGAAATTAAGGGGGAAAGTGCTTTACCGTGAGCTTCTTCAGCTTTGTATAGATAGCACTTGGGAAATGTTTATAAAATAAGAACTATTTCTAATGCTAAAGTACAACAGGAAGTAACTTTGTTATCTGAAACGAAAAAGCAATTATTTCAACCCGACTCCTACTAGACAATGACAATAGACCATCCCTGAGCTATTCCCACCAAATGCAGCACTCACCTCCTCACTGTTGTACCTGCACAAACCTGGCAACTCCCCCCATAAGATGTGTATACTTAAATGGAATTGTGCAATGCATCATTGTAGTCTATTCATACCATTCTCATGGCCTCCTGTTACACAAAATCCACAACAGTCCTTATCAGGTGTTTTAGAAAGGTGTGAAGCCATAAACAAAGGGGAGCTTTGTGTCTAGAAGTGCCCAAAAAATTGTCAGTATGGATGAAGAAGTTCTGCTACAGCAGCTAAATACAGTATTAGCTGAATATATAATGAGATCAGACTGCCAGTGGTTATAAAAAGTAAAATTCAGGAGATACTACTTCCCAAGCTGTAGAAATGGTGTTGTGATGTCTCTGGGGAAAAGAAATGCTATTTGGCTGAAGATGCAAATATGTGAAAGATCTTCCAACTCTCTCATCTGCTGAATTAATCAGCAGAAAGCCACAAGTCTTAAAGAGAGCGCAACATCCATAGAATGAAAAGATGGTGCCTGCACAGCATTTGGAATACATTCTTGAAAATCCATAAAATCACACAGCTCTTTTCTGTTTGAGAAATTACCAACGGTAATTGAACCGTGGCTTTACAGGCTTTGAGCAAATGTAATGTGTCATTAGTATCCAAAGGCTCACTTCCCATCCTCTCTGTCTCCTGTTGTTGCTCTTACCTTTCTCCAACTTCAACGCCCCCACTTTCTCACTTTTGGCCATCTGGTATCACTCCTCTGCTCCAAGCTCTGCAGCTCACTGGGCCCTTCCACAGCCCCATTTAACTCATTGATATAGGAGAAATTTATTG